TTTTGTACCCATAAGATGTTTGTGAATAACAAAAATAATATTAATAATGACTGTCTTATAGATGTAAATTGGATAATTTTTGTGTATTCACATACAATTATATAAAAGGAAACATTAGTTCCTGCTACTTTCTTGGACTTTAATATCTTTCTGAGGGATATGAAGAATTATGAATTTCAAAAGCAAAAGACTGTCATTCAACTCTAAGCATCAAAATCACCCAAGGCTACATCGTGTAACATTCACTGACGCTACCGACGTATAGAATATCATCTCGGATTCACTCATATCCTCATTCTTGGGGACTTCAATCTTCCTACATTCATTTTCGCGGAACATGCGCATATTGGATGTGAAAACTCAGCTGAAGCTCGGTTCTTCAACCTCAGTGAGAATCTGGAATTGTTCGAAAATGTGATGTCGGCAACTCGTTTGAGAAACAGTCAGACTCCGTCGCGCTTATATAGGGTATTTACAAATGAAGAATTCCTAACTGAAAACCACTCAATCCTGGCTCTCATTAGGAGAAATGATCACTTTGTCAAAGCCTTGAGTTTTATCGGCAAAACTGAGCTAAGTCATCCCAATAACAACAGGCGCTGAAATTTCAAACGGTTGAATGTGTCAGCTTTACAGGACAACCTACAACAGGTGGGTTGGGAAATTCAACCTCAACTATGTGTGGATGCTCATTCGGATATCTTATTGAACATGATCTTATGTGATACAAAGCAGTCTGTTCCTGAAACGGCCCTCAAATCTACAAGCAACCTACAGTAATCAAGAACTGCACTCTTCGTTTGCTAAGTCGCACAAGGCACTGTTGTGCTGAATACAAACGCACTGATAACAACGGCGCGTACAGGCAATACAAGCATATCAGGAGCATATGCACAAAGGCAATGCGAGAAGACAGGTTTCAGTGTCAGATAAAGCTTATCGACAAATTTATATCCAATCTAAACAGTACCCTCGGACATTTCAACCGATCCACACTAACTACATTGATGAAAGCTTCATCTGCAACTGCATAGGAATTTTCGAATTGAACCCGGGCGTTGAAACTAATGTAACTAAATTACAGAACATGTGGTTTATCCCTTCCTATTGTTTATTAATCATAGCCTTATGCTCCTAATCATCACTTCCAGTTCCCGAATCCCTCTAGTGTTTAAATATACATTATTCTTCCTAAGTGTCATGTCTTTTTTTTCTTTTGCAAGTAGACAGATAACTCACTAATCTTATGGATCATACGAAGCTCAAAATTTCCTAAAGTCTTGTGAGTTACTTGATGTTTTATTTTTCTTACCCTGAAAATTTTACAATTTTAATACTCTTTTATATACTTTGATTCGCTATTAGTCCTTACTATATTTAAACCACATATAATCTGACCTCATTTCTGTTTTTAACTTTCACCATTAGTTATCTTCATAGCAGTGTGATATACTAAATGGATATCTGACCCATAATACAAATGGTTTGATTATCTGATTTGCTTGTAATATGGAACTAGTAGAGACAGTGTATTCCAACTATGGGATTTGATTAACGCAGTATTCATACTTATCACAAGCGTAAGAGAGCCTAACGTCACGAAAGGAGGGAGGGTGGCGTTACTGACCAGCAAACATGATGGTACGCAGATAGCCTCAATCCACCCATGTCTATAGGGCAGAACGTTTTGTTTAACTACAGCTCCTTATGGTCACGTGGAATGTCACGAACTCATTGTATTGATGCTGATTTATTATGCAAAATACCTTATTAAATCGTGTTCAGGACATTGAATTGGTTTTACTTCCTACCCACAAATCATGAGACAAGCAAACTAGACAAGTCGCTAAGAACGAAGTCTACTCAAGACCCTATAAAATACAAGAAACAGGCTTCAATAGCTTCGACAAAAAAAAGAGCCAGCCATTGGTTTATCATCATACTGTTTTTAGCACTATATTTTATAACCACACATCCCATACTTTCAGCTCCTTTCTGTACCAACTCCATTTTCAGTTGTTCATCCACTCAAACCTTGTTCACACTTATTTTCTTTAACCAATTAGAATGTTCTTGCTTAATAAATACATTAATAAAATAGAATTAGACTGAGTAGTCATACCTAAACTATTCCTTCATGATCACTGTCTGCTCTGCTTCTCATCCTTTCTTTTTGCACCGTTTTCAGCCCTTTTGAGATATGTCACCGAAAACATATGAAACGGGTGACTTCGTCCTTCACCATCATTAAAGCCTCATCGATTCCAGAGGGATGTAAGTTTGCTATTTCTAGAAGATCCCACCTTCAATTGATCTATCCTAGACTATCAGTGGCACATCGCAACGCAACTTTCATAAAGCGCACCAATTGTGATACTGACTAGAACCATCTACATTCATATCTTATAAAATATCAACCCTGATGAGTAATTTACTACAGTGAAAATTGTATCATATGCAACAATTTGATCTTGCCTGTAAACTGGCACGCCTTATGTAACAAGCTGTTATTTAAGAAAATATTATTATAAATTATTATTTGACTTGGTGTGCCGGAAACGGAAGTATTTAAAAAGGACACTTCTTCTGGTCCGCATATGATTGATTCCGGTATATTGAGGGAATCAGCTTCAATCTTGGCAACACGGCTTAGCGTGATGTTCTCACACTGTCTAAGCCGAGGAAAACTACCGTAAATTTGGATGCTGGCTCACATCACACCGATTTTCTAAGTAGGTCGACGCAGCAAACCTTCAAGTTACCGGCCGGTGGCTCTTCTTTCTACACCTTAAAAAATAGTAAGTCCCTGATATGCGATTGTATACACGACCACTTAATATCCTTAAACTTCTTTACACCCCAACATGGTTTCAGGTAGGATCATTTTTGTGTAACCAATCTAATGATCGCGGCGAACAGATAGACAACCATCTTTGATTGCAAGAAGAAGGTTGACGTCATTTTTCTTGATTTCTCAAGGGCTTTTAATAAGATCAACCATATAACTCTTATCAATAAGCTCAAACTATTGGATGTCAAATCACCTCTAATTGATTGGCTCACTTCATATCTAAAAAATCTTCATTTTAAGGTCAGGGTTAACTTCACTTTCTCTCAGGCTATGGAATGCTCTAGTGGGGTCCCCCAGGGTTCAGTACTAGTGTAGTGAAGAAGAACACGAGTGGGGACAACCTAATATATTTGAGCACAAAATTACAGAATATCTCACTAAGATCTGATAACCATACAGTAAATAGTTAATTTGCTAAACTTTAATTAATTGTCTCGGACGTGACCGTTTTTTTGCGAATATCAGTCCATCGTCTCAGACTTCATTGTTCGTGCATTTTCATACCAATTGCGTCCCGTCCCCGTTCTTTCCTTGTTGACGTCCGACTGAAATATATTCTATGTGTGAACATTGTGATATACTGTTTATGTGGACATAAGTAGTTCAAAACACACATGGACATCTTATTTTCTTGATACATAAAATTGATCTTCCACAACAGGTATCGTCAGACTTTTTACTTTTCGCAGATGACGGGAAACTTTGGAGAAAGATACGCAACCAAAAGTATATACTGGCACTTCAGGAGGATAAGATACGACTTCAAGGTTGGGCAGACGATAATGAACTTACCTTTAACACTTCAAAGTGTAAAGAAGTCCATCTGCAACGTGTTGCAGACTACAGTTACAACTTAAGAAACTCCTCTCTAGTAGTATCCCGAGTGGTAAAGGATTTAAGAGTCCTGGTACCCTACGATTTGAAGTCTTACGTTACCTGTGACAAAAATGACTTTCTTGAGATCCTTGCACTGGTAACATAGAAGCCCATTTTGGTCAGCATGATTTTAAAACTGTAGAATTATGGTCTACTATGATATTAGTACTGCTCCAATAATAGACCTAATCCTAAAATTGTAGATTTGTTATGATATAACTGCCTAATCTATAAGATCTTACGTGGAAGTCACACCATCGACTACACCAACTCACTGTATCGTATCAATTACCAATACATGATATAGAACAAAGTTAGGCTAGAGAAGGACCAATATATTTAATATGAATATAAGATATAAGGCAACATTCAGAGGGACTACGCCTGCACAGCCTCGCCATGCCATTCGATCAACTCCAATTCATTCAATTACTCGTTCACGCCTTCTCCATCATTAGGTGTTTCTCCATGTCAAATATTGAATATCTATTTTCCGAGTAATCTCGTATTCAGCTTTGTGGATTGTGTGGTTATTGTCCAATGCCACTACAGAACTCTCCATATAATCTTCAATGGTTTTATTCGTCCCCAATTATAGAATGGAAACAGTATTTCCTCCCTCACTTCAAAAGGATAAGGACACTGAAGCGTATGCAGCACCGAGCCGCGAAATCAGTTCGGGGACTCAAACTCAAGGCCTATGAAGTGCGCTTCCAATCACCAAACTTTCATTCATAAGGATAGTGGCGTCATAAATTTGACCTTCTAATGGTTCACAGCATCCTGAACAGTTCTGGACATCCCCTTAAACACGTACTTAAGTTTAGCTTCAACAAAAACCTAAAGAGTAACACCCAGAAACTAGGGACACCACACATTAGAACGGACTGTAGACACAACCTCTACTCCTGAAGAGTTGTCAAATGATGGAATTTGCTGCTGGCTGGGCTTGTCCAAGCGACTTCCCAGGAGTCCTTTAAGAAGAAACGTGACACCTTCCCAAGGACTAAGGATAATATTTTAATGTGATTCGCCGATCGCTTCTTCTTCTTTCATCGTTAATATACCTAGGTTTTTACCTCTAGGTATTGGTGATCCACTGCTTATAGACACGGAACCCCGTGAAGTGAGAGGTTCTTCTATTTCGTCCTCAACTAGTTGAATCGCTTAAAAAAATAAAAAAACTTAAGGGTTCTACTTGTGGCGACCAAAGTTGCTTCATCTACTGTTTTTGTTTTATTCAATAAATCTAGGGATACTTGCCGAACCCACTGATTTCTCAGTTTGACGTTTTGAAGGTCGGCGGTCCTTATAAGTTGTTTGTCTTTGTTTTGTAAATTTGTTAGTCATCTTTTTCTTGGTGGTTTTTGAAATAGGCTGTATTGCTATAAAAACTTTATGTCGCGAACTCTTTAATTTGACTGTTTGTTTCGTTAAATGTACATGTTCAGTCTGTTTCTTACATATTATTCATTTAAAACTGTTGTAATATTGCTGTTCGGCATGCTGTACTCTCATTGGTTTCCTCTCTGTTGATGTATAATTGCTGTTTAACTTGTTTATATGCTTTGAACGACCATGTTTTTCGGCGGCACTGAACAAATAGTACTTTGCAATACATTGCAAATTATAATTAAATCATACTTTCGTATTTTTCACTGCTTATTATAACTGTATGAGCTATCTGCATCAGATTACTTTCGTCTGCTCTTTCGTTGTATTTCAATGTGGGTTGTTTAGTATACGTTTTCTAATATAAAGGACATGAATGGACTATAGAGTTTAAATTTCATATCGAACTGAGTTTTAGTGGATGAATGCCAAAAAATTTATTAGTGCTGCCTTAGATTAGCCTTATGGCCATTTTATAGTAACTCAATAGAAGTAATGTGACGCGATGGTTTGTTCGGATACGTTATTAATGATATTTCGTGTTGATGTACGTAAAATAGCTCTTTACAGGACTCCTGAAACAAAACCATAGGTGACTCAACTGGTTGCACCAGTTCATTCACTATTGTTTCGTGTATCTTTGTGATAGCTTCTTGAATTGAGGCAGAATTTTAGTTTATGATAGGGGTTAACTATCATATTGTTCTGTTTCGTTTTGTAAATTATTGGTTGTTTTGCTCTGTTAACAAAATATGGTTTAGTCGTTATATCGTCGTTTTGTTTCTATGAAGAGGTTTCTAAGTGCATATGACTCGGGTATATTATGTACTCATTTAATCTTACTGTGTTTGGTGTGCGCTATATCTCTACAAGGCGTGATAAATTCTGATCAGCTCATTGCTGCACTGGATCCTAGAAATGATATGAATGTACATGAATTGCTCCTGAATAATGACCGTTCACAAGACTGAATAATTGGTGCAATCGCCCTAATGGTTTGAATTAAAGACAAGACAATTTCCCATACGAATAGATTATATGTGCGATAAAATGACATGCTTATATACAAAATTAGTAAAAAATCAACGTATTAAAATGTCATAAGCGCTTGTGTAAGATTGGTTTTTAGGTCTCTCCCCCAACAGGCAATCAATACACTACTATAATGTCTAGTTCTTCTGGATAATTAAATGGATCATGGACAAATTAATTGTGGACATGATTAGACCATTTCATAAAATTTTTGTTGATCTCGATTTTATATTTCACATCTTTCTCTTTTGAAAGCAATTCATAAGCTTGTTCTGGCTTCTCTGGTGTTCTTACTTGTAATCTGTTTCCAATTTCTACATCATTTGGTATCTGATATTTTGTTCGATATCAGTAAAATGTATGATGACTACTGCTATACAAGTTTTTTTATAACCATATTCAATCTGAGCTGATGTTAGGGATACGTGCTACTGTGCTTTCTCTGGATCTTGGAATTATTCTTTTTCGTTTGTCGGAACTTACACTATCAAGAAGCACTGATGCTAGTATTAATATTTTGGATGTTATGACCCACCATAACATATTTCAGGCATGGGGGATAATATTTTTGTGACGATTGTTGTCGTCATGTCTTCACATGTGCTTATATTTCGGTTATAGTTGTTATCACCAACATTGACATATCTTCCACATTGTAGATATTCATTTGCCGTATATTAGTCAACATTTATGTGGGTACTATCATCTTTCTCATTTAGGTTTTCGCATATTTCCTTTGAAAGTTGGAAGCAAGTCGGATGAGCATCCACATATTTCCTACACAATGTGGTGTGGATCCCTCGGGAAGCGAAATATCAACTACAGACAGCCTTATTCAAGAATTTCAAGAATTCGAAGCACAAGTGTATTCTGGTGCATTATTCGAACAAAAATGCAGAACTAGTACTCCATCAAATGAAAACATTAATTCTTTACCAAGTCAAATGATTAATATCCCCACAATAAGACCTGACCCATCTTCTCGAGGAACTTGTGCCAAGCAGCATTTGGAGAATTTTGGTCCGAATGAAGTAGGTTAAATTGTTTGGTATGTTAGTTTTATTAGGGAGAACACAAAGAAAAATTACCTTTGGTTAAGTGGTCTTGGGTGCTGTTAGAGGTATGAGGGCGATTATCACTTCCCGGTTGCCCACACCGTGGAAGAGTTCTTCTGGAGGTACCTGAAAAGGAAATTGGGTTAGAGGCGGTCTCAGTGACCTGAGAGCGTGACCGCAGTGCCCAAGGGACAACTGCTTGAGGCCGGTCGCGCACGGCCTTTTCGTGGGAGGTTTTTGACGTGTTAGCTCCGTTCTTCAAAGGGCCTTACCGCCGGAGACGGAAATCCGTGAGGTAAGGTGAGGTGCGCATTTTTAGGGTCGACCTTTTCTAACCCCACCCCTCCTTGTGGGAAGGCAGCATCGCTGTCATGCTGGTTGTCTGAAGGAAACACCTTACTGCTGTCACACCTCTATACAGTCAGCAGTATGACTTCGCCTTCGGACCTTGGGTTTGTTGCTTTTAGTCTTACCGCTCTTCAACCGACCACAGATGCCTTAGAAATATTGCTGGCGTCTGCTGGGATCACCGGGTAAGTAATAGTGAGGTTAGACGCAGGGTATTAGGGAATGATGGTAAATCAGTTGATGAGGTTATGAATCTTAATCGACTGAGATGGTTGGGCCACGTGTTACGTATGCCTGAACACCGATTACCACGACGTGCAATGCTATCCGGTATTGGAAATGGTTGGAAGAAAGTTAGGGGCGGCCAAACCAAAACGTGGCATCAGTCCTTGAAGTCACTAACTTCTAGTCTGAGCCATGTTGGTAGATGCAGACTACTTGGTTGGGGTCCGCGTGACTATCGTGACCAATGGTTGGAGACTCTGGGTGACATGGCTCAGAATCTATCACAATGACGTCGGTGTATACACTCTCTGTCTTCCCTTAAACTAAGAGATTAAAATTGCTTCATATCTTTCTTTCTACGAACCAATTCTTTCTTCTTGTACTATATCTCTACATGCAATCTTTCTCCTACATATTACTACCTTTGACCTAACCACTGCTATGAATCCGGTGTTCATCTTGTGCTGATGCGGTATGGCAACCTGGACCGATGCACATATGTGCCTGGTCCTACGTTGTAGCTGACTAACTGACTGACCTTTGGTTAATGTAAGCAACACTTTATTCGATGTCTTAAGCAATACTAACTACTTGTAATTCGTGGGAACTTTGTGTCTGGTAGCAAGAAGGAAAGCTTTTAATTAGGCCATGGATTATGTTGATTTACTTATGTCATGCAATGAGGAAATGATGAGTATAGCTGGAATGAAACATGGACTTTAGCAGATACTTTCTAAATTATTTGCTAACTTCTAATAGCTGGGTTATGAGACTAATAACAATTAGATGTTAATTTCCTTTAGACCAGTTTCCTCGGTGGTATTGTGTTGGCGGAATATATATTGGCTTAAATAATATACCGTATAGGGTTATGTTGGGGCACACTCGTCGGTTATTTCTTATTAAATGGGCAGAACCGTACATAATGCCAATCACCACATAACCAACTGACAGTACTTGGTCTGTTACGAGTTTTTCTCGGCTTCTGAGCTTCTAACTTAGTATTAACATTGACACTACTGCAGGTTAAATGCGGATTTACCTGTTCAATTAAATTATTGTCTTGTCTGATGTTTTGTAGCCGTTTACACTTATCTGTCAGTATCCTGAGCGTGACGTTGGGTCTTGATCCAGTCTAGTTAAAAGTCTAGTCCTAATCTCAGCGTCTTGTGGTGACTTGATAGCTTTGATGAATATTCGGCATTTAAATCGATTCTCCATTAATGGCCGTAACTTGGACAGTTCACGCTCTCTGTTGACATTTGGTAGAGCACCATACTCATCGTCATCGCGTTTCACCAAATTTAGACACTGATGCCGAATACTAAACAATGAGGATGACTCATGAATTTCCGTGTCTTCGGGACTGAGCTCTCGAGGTAACTTGGCAATATATGGTTAGCATATCGTTCATGTTCATTGCTCCCCAACTTACGCATCAACAATCGAGTCTTCCACGTGTCATCTTGGTTACAGAATTCTATTATAAGTGTATCTTCCCAACTCCTAAAGATATCAATTTTTTCGGGGTCATAGTTGAATTCTGGGATGCTGTTGGTAACTGTATCACAGTAAGTACTTGAAATAGCGTGTGAACTTTAGCGATGGATGTTAAGAAGTTGCGTCAGCCTCCAACAACCACATTTGTGCATCAAGTTCTGCTTGCTGTTGTCTTGCTATTCAGTTTAGCTGGTCATCTGATATGGGCATCTTGAATATGTTTTTCTTTGTCGCCACCGTTATAATGTCTATTGTTACGACCCATCTACTCTTATTGCTTAGTATTCTTCGACATTGCTTCACTTGACAAGTGTCAAAATCAGAATACGGTTGAATAGGAATGTAATTTTATTCTAGATAACAAGGGTGAATGGAAGTTGGCTATTTCCTTACCAACCAGAGCTAGCAGATGCTTGGAGAATACTTTAGAGCCTTCTTGTGTAAAAATTATGAATATACTGACGTTCTTACCGTGATTTCTATTTCCACCCAACCTTGTTATTTGGAATATAATCACGTTCCTGATCAACCGTGTTCTGATTTGGGAACTTGTCGAGTGAAATAGTGTTTAAGAATACTAAGCCATAGGAGTAGCTGGGTCGTAATTCGAGGAACCATAGCATGTTGTTTTTGTAGGTGTTTAGTGGAAAACCTTCTGCGAACATTTTCGCGATTTTAATTCAGTGACCGAGTAACGTGTAAAACCCAGCCGGAAAATTCCTGTGAATTTATCTATTGGAGGACAAGGTTTTAGCTTCTGTCATCTGATTTTAATAACATAAGGCTACTTAAACTGGTGTGTTTAAGAATAATCCATAATCGACAAGTTGACACCCAAGGAATTTTGCTTTATGATTGTTTTACAAATACATTATTATCTCAGATGATTACTGGAATCCAGTAGCCGGGATTCTTTTGCATGAAGAATTGTGATAGTGACTGACTACTCAAATCCAATTAAGTGGATTGAAGTCCAAATATGCGACCCGATAGTTGGAAGCCAAGAAGTTTGATCAATATACCACCGATACCATCATTCGTGGCGTTATTTCTATTTTAGTTGCAATTCATCTGGGAAAATACCTCATTGAAAAGACGTTTTCTGAAATATACGATTATTGAGTGTGTATTTCCCGTTTGTTGCTAAACTGTTCTTTGAGCAGTGGGCAGTAATTTTCAGACACCACACAGATTGTTGTTATCTGAGTGTCCGCTGTTTAGTATCAGTCAGAGATAGTTTGTTTAGGCTGCGGTATGTACCTGAGATTGTCTTAAATTCTCATATTTCGTTTCCCATCACTCCTAACTTCGTTTGCCTGAAGTAGATCCAGTGGTGTTCTTAAAAAGGCAATGACTTACGTAGCTTTCCATAGTTACCAATCCTTATTTAACCTGTATGTATTGGCAATTAAAACATCCTTTATTTGCATAATTCTCTAAACCTAAGTTTTTATGTCCAATCTTTTCAGAGCTTCTTGATGTATGTATAACATTATATTAATTGAAATCTAATCTTATGCCACATTGTCGTAACATGTGGTTAGCTTTGTTTTATGTTTCGGTATTTCCTTCTGTATACTCAATAACAGGTTTCTGATGTTGAAGTAGACAGTTTAGATGATGAACCAGTGAATTCTACAGTCCAAATCAATGCATCATCAAAAACAAACGCAGATATATTTGGATCCAAAGACAGTGATTCTTTTAGTAATCGTGCAAAGCTTTCACGTATTCCACAGGTGAATTATCATACTAAAGTTTTGTGGCAAGTGTGTGTTGAATCTTTGACAGGAATTTAAATTTAAATTTGTTTTGTCTTGAAACTTTAAAGTTACGTATCACTGTTAGTTTATTCCTTTTTATTCCATCCGATATAAGGAAAATGAAATAGCTAATTCGCTGATAATTTTTACATTGCATATTAGGTCATAAGTTTTATCATCTGTCTAGGAACTGTAATAGTGAAAAGAAACTCAACTACACGGGCAAATATTAAAACATGCAGTACTCTGGATGTGTGAACATAATGGTTGTGGGTTAAACGGTTAGCAGGTAAACTGAAAGCTCCAATCGATGAGTGCTTGCATATGGTAATAATCTTACTAGATTTTATAACATGTGATAGTAATAGTGTATTAAAACAATAGCAGTGACGGCTGATTATGTATTTGATGATATACGTCAGACCGTTAGTGATAATTTTTTCATTTAGTGGATTGAATGAATTTTTCATTCGCATTGCCGAGAGAGTAACCAATTAACATATGTGTCTGGGTATTCACAGTTATAGTTTGTTTTCATTGCCTTGTTCGAAAACCATCTGTTTTGGTTTGGGGGCGCAGGAAGTATCGCAGCCCATATGCAAGTATGATGACGTTACTGATAATTTCATCACTTAATTTTAATATTCAGTCTTACCAGAATATACAAAGACAAAATAAATTAGTAAACCCTCGCTATTATATCAGAAGGCTATTAGTCTTTTTGAAATCTCGCACCTACAATACACATTTCCCTAGCTGCAGTTTAAATGGCTTAAAATTTAGCTCAATCACTTGTTATTGCTAAGTTCTAAAATAAATGTAAAAAAGTAAGTAAAGTTTTGGGTATTTTAAGAATAACAAAATATTTATGATTGGTGTTGTGGTTGGTTTCGAGCCATAGTCTCTTAAACTATTCAACAATGAACTTTGTTTATCTCTGAGACCTATTGTGCTCATATTAACATGTAATATCATTGAGTAGTAAGATCATTAATATGATCCTTCTGATTTCCTGACTTATTTATTTCCTCTCTTCAAAAAATTGAGTTTGCAGTATATTGCACCTCATTGTATTGATTAATTTATCGATTCTTACGGGCAGCCATTATATTCGACTTGATTTTCACATTATTTAGCCTAGGGTTCAGCTATATACATAAGCAAATGGTTTCAAATAGATCAGGTGTCTATAGTTTTATTATGTGTTTGCTTGGAAGATATTTCACATCTCTATAGAAAAAAAGGCAAGATACCTCACCGTATTACTTAGTTATCAAATACAACCAGCCAATTTGCAATTATTACAAGTAGGTAGGCTGCTATGAATCAAATAAAGTTATTGTGTTGTTGCTTCAATTTTTCGGATTACCAGTTTATAAATGATTTTCATTTCTGTCTGAATGGTGATCATAAAATTAATGTTTAGTGTCTGTGTACAGTACTGAACATAACTGAATTCTGGTCTCATATGATTACCTTTTCGTCGGTATAAAACGTACATCATGAATTTTTCAGATTTCCAATTTTCGTGATTGTTTTTCATAAAAGGATTGTATTATTTAAGTGTAAACCAAGAGACCCTGGGTTAACCCGTAGAAAATCATAGCTAGTGGGCATTGATTAATATACTTATATGCCATCAGGTGCTTTCTAGGATAGGATCAATACTTTCCAAATATTTTTGAACCGAGGTTTGGGCGTTGGATTTTAAAAACCATGCCAATCGAACTAAAACATCACAATAAAAACTCTTCGCTCTCGTAATATTTATAGTCCCTAAACACACTGGTACAAACGAAGATGTGGTGAATCCACTGTCCTCGAAATTCTCTCACATGACCACGTATATACTACCACTGCCACGGAAGTCCTACCCACTGTCTTCTCACTGCGGGGTGTTGTTTACGAAATTGAGTGAACGGAAAGCGAATGTCCGGTGCGTTATCTGGGTTGGTGAATATGAAGGAACCGCCTAGAAAAATTGTAAAACTCTGATTCCAAACCAATGGTGCACATGGGCTCCAGTGTCCTGAGGGTACAAAAGGCGTATGAACCTGTTGTTGGTCACCGGCTACCATGGGATTGAATTTCATTCCGTTGCTCCACTGCCTTGTGGATTATACCTGAAGGTCAAACGCTTGTGGAGTGGCACCCTAAGAAAACTACCTGCTTCGGTTTGGGTGTCCGGAAAGTATTCCATTTCTCACGCAAATCGGATGAAGTGTGGTGCACATATAAATTTGGTGCCTCCTTGTACCAATGTTTATATGTTTAAATAAATAAATATTGCAATTTACACTCGTAACTCGTCTAGAGCTACTAAATACCAGTTACTTATTTAAATGTATATCATAAAGATTATGTTATTATCTATATTAAAGGCATTGACTTATTTACTATCCAAAGTGATGCACTGTTGGCAGATCAGTTTCTAGCATTCACAATTTAAGTTACTTCCCTGTTAATGTATACAACGTGATAGTGTTTCTTTGAACTTCATTTCTTGATAGCTGATCAGATCCCCTAATCGTTCCCTTAGTCAATCCATCATTTCAAACAATCAGGAGGCAACGAAAAATATTGCATCTACAATATCTCGCCACAGTCTCCCTTCACAGATGGAGTTTCCTGTCTTACAGTCATCTGCCAACACAACAACGACAACTAGTAAACACCATGTGTCAAATTCTGACTTTATTAAAGTAAAATCTTCAGGAAGCAATCAGTATTTCGTCCCGAATTTACTTACAACACCAGATGTGACGGAAAGCAATCAAAATTTTCATTTGAAAACATCTCTCTCCAATCCTACATCTTCACAGTCAAGTTTATCATTCGATTTAATGAATAACTCAAGATCATGCAATAAAAGTCGAGTACAGGTCACAGTTAAGAAGTTGAATTCATCATCTCCATCTATAAATAATTTAGATTTATCTAATCTGAACAAAATAAATATGGATTCGATTGCATCGTATGCCCATGAAGATCCAATTGAAACACATGATCTAGTTGTAGCTAAAATGGCTGCGGATGGAGTGGTTTGGGTACCATCTTCTGACGCAAATCATTCTACCATTAATAGTACAATTGCTGAAAAAAACGAGGTTCATCAATCTATTTTACAAAAAACTGATCAATTGAGATGGTATTCCGAGGAAATTGAAGAAGAGAAAATAAATGATAATGTAAGTTAATGAATACTATTTCTTATGATAATGTTTGTAAACTAAATGAACAGGTGGAATTAACTAGGGGATAAACGAATAGACAGTGAATCTTTGGAAGCATTTATCTTTCAAATGTAGTTGACTTTGAATGTCTATGTATACTTTCTCATTTTACTACCTTACATAAAATGTTTATGGAGTTATAAATAAGGTCAGATTTATAAGATGCAAGCCACTTGATTTTGGTTGGGTCCTTTCGTTGATCGATATTTCTGATTAATGTCCGTAAATGATCTAATTGAAAACTATTTACAAAGGCTTAGATATCTGTACCCCTAATTTTTTATAAATATTGAACAGTAAGTATTAGGCGTCATTTATTTTAGTCTTGACAGATAACAGTTTTCATTTGTTTTTATACTTTTTTCATTTGTGTTGACTTACTAAATACAGTTGCACAATGTTTCATTTGCAACTTGTGTACTTTGGTACGAGTCTCTACTTTAGTGTTTTTTCTGTTCCCATACATGATCTAGGAGATTATTACATTGTGATTATTTATTACCATTTTCATTTCAACCTATAAACACTGACGATTCATATTTTTCCAATATATAGCTATCATTTTCTTGATTTTTATATATGACAACAATTCTGTAAAAGATTTACTTGATATGCATTGGATTATTTAGAAATTATTTACACCAATGATTTATCCTTGTTAATCTGATCAAAGGTTCGATTTACTAAACTAAATAGACTAAAATTAGTTAGTAAAGGACTGAACGATGAATATGTATTACTGAAATTTCTAGTCATAAACTAAGTTCACACATTACTTGCTCTCATTTTTTAGAATAAGTAATATTCTTTTTATGTATATTGTATGCGATTGCTTCAAAAGTATGTTAAAATGCATAATTGGTTTTTTTTTTCGTGCACCTCATGAATAAGAACTGTCTAGACTTAAACGTTCACTCATGATATTAAATAGCTAATAGGTCAACATGTCCACCAGTATACTATTACATATTTAGATTTTTCTAAAATTTATGTAATGCATTTAAGTACGTACGTATTACTTTCTAGTTATATCGACCATCGACTCCTTTACTCACGGTACTTTTTTTGTGTACTGCTCGAAGAATCTGTCATATGGGTTAGAAAGTTTGTCATAATCACACTATTTAAATATTACATTGTTTATTTGTGTTTTTCCTCTTGTGTTTACGGCACTATTTTATGTTATTATTGATCCAATTTTTGTGCGAAATAAATGGCGAACAATCAAATGATGAATAACATTTTTAATAACTCAGTATTGTATTTCATTTTTTAAAATTCGAGCAGAGTAATTTCATATATTGTTATTAGATGTATGGCTTATGCCAGTTACCGGTTTTCCACACTGTAGAAGGATATTTTTTAAGGTATATGAAAATAAAACTAAATTATAGGTAATTTTGCCAACTTTCAGATGGGACTGCAGCGCTTAAGAGGCTACTGTTTTAGGCCGGTCAGTCACAGCCTTTTTGTAAATAATTGATGTAACTTATTTGCCAAGTAAAGATTCATGTACTCAGCTTCGAGCCGCTCTTTATGTATGAGGTCTAGTGATGCTAAACATGACTTTCAGATAAACTTTCTACTCAATTGTTCATAATGCTTCTACTATATACTGTGCAAACTTCAGTATGCTGTGTTTAAAAAAGATGTTCATAATAAATATTATTGATGTACCAAGTATAAGTTTATGCATTCGAGTTTCAACTGTATTGTTTATGTGGAAGCTAGTAATACTTACTATCTGCCTTCAATCTATACAAGTTGATTACGGTTTGGACTAGTGCTGGTTAAAAGGCCAGACATTAATTCTAATCTTCGATTAGGCTATGGAAAATTGAATGTTTACATTAAACAATTGATTACTGTTATGAACGTTCACCAAGTTATTATATATGACTCTACATTTTTGATAAACTCTTATTGGTCATTACTTTTTTTAACGGTTAAATGTTTGTTTTTTTCCTCATCCAAATGTACACACACCTTAGGGATGAGTATGTTCGATATTTTTGATTTAATATCGTTAATACTCCTAATGATATCGTCAGATTTTCCTTTTATCGTAGAGATGACTAATACACCACTAGTTGAGTATTATTGATCAAGAAATTTAATGAAAAAGTAGAAAAAAAATAGTTGGACAATAGTAATTTTTTCCTTCTTTTGCTTTTCTCTCCCTCTCTCTGCCTCACTGTAGTATCCAGTAAAAAGTAAAAAGAATATGTATGCTTCCAATAAGTTAATTTCTAATTTTTCTTACAAACAGTTGTATGGATTTATTTATATTCAGTTTTTGTAAAAATTTCAAGCAGTTAAGGTATTATTTTGTTGCCTTTATGTTGTGGCCTTCTTTTTACTCTTATTTTTCATCTATCCTATACACTTCTACATATATTATACAACTGAAAAGCTAAAAATACACTTGAGTATAGTATTAATAATTATGTACACAATATATTATATCAAGGTAACTATTTAGATCAGTGATCAAATAAGAAATAAATGAAATTATCCGCAAATCATATTCACTTTGACAATCGGTTACTGACCTTCGATATCCGGTGTGTATGTGAAAAGAAACTACAAGTGAGAGTATTAGTGTTACTAATGTCTATAAAGTAGGATAAGACTAAGTGAGTTTTGTTTTTAAATTGGAAGTTTGCGTGATTTTGTGAATAATTAATCAAGTCATTTATGCGAAAACACGATTCTACTGTATGTTATTGTTTAGTTGAGGAACGAGTTTTACATATATCGTATTTGAGAGTCGTTATCTGGATAAATCTTTATTGCAATGTTTTAAATTTTCTTTAAGTTTACAATGAACAATGTATAGTTCATACTATCATCGAGATATATTCACTGCAAATTTGTTTTATAATCTATATAGCTCATTAAATCAATATAATGAACATTTGTGATAGTAACGTATATATTTCTTCTTTATTACAACTACATATGCTGAGTAAAAACTAATAATGTGCTTTCATCTAGCCGTCAAGGTACATTTATATTAGGATTTATAATCGGATGGGTCAAAAGCAAGAAAGTAGCTAAAATCTAGTTGAATGAAGTGCCAAATTTCGTCTTTCTAGAAGCGGCTGTATAACTCGTATTGACAAGCGTACATCATCACTTATTATTGAGTATCATCGTTTCTAAAATCCTGTCTGATGAGTTGTGAGTCCATAGGTTCTGTGATCAGCTTATATACTTTTAAAATATATTGTACTGCATTACTTGACTTGTATTGCTTTCTGTAACGTCAGTTATGGCATAACTAATCAAGATATACCTTTAAACACTAGGATTGAACCAACCTCGTCATATCAAACAAATAGTGCAACGATAGATATCCTAACATTTCGATGTTGTAGAAAAGTGCTTCATCTGTTATTCATTTCTTCTCTAACCTTCTGTTTGAGGTAATATGAACGATAGAAAACGTATAGTTTATTCCCTCTGCGAAACGTCATGAATATTTGTCACGCTGCAATATTACCATGTATTAGGTTTAATTCTCTAAAAATCTTGTCTTATCTGTTCAACTGTTCATAGCACATACTTACTTACTTACTTACGCCTGTTACTCCTCGTGAAGGAGCATAGGCCGCTCACCAGCATTCTCCATCCAACCCTGTCCTGGGCAATCCTTTCCAGTTGTAATTCATCCTTTTCATATCTGCTTCTATTATCCGACGTAATGTGTTCTTTGGCCTTCCTCTTTTCCGCTTCCCTTCAGGATTCCAAGTTAGGGCTTGTCTCGTGATACATTTTGACGATTTGCGTAATGTATGTCCTATCCATTTCCATCGTCTTCTCCTAATTTCCTCTTCAGCTGGAAGTTGGTTTGTTCTCTCCCACAGAAGGCTATTGCTGATGGTATCTGGCCAATGGATGTTGAGTATCTTGCGTAGACAGCTATTTATAAATACTTGTACTTTCTTGATTGTGGTTGTTGTAGTTCTCCAAGTTTCAGCTCCATACAGTAGAACTGCCTTGACGTTCGTATTGAAGATTCTCACTTTGATATTGGTTGGAAGTTGTTTTGAATTCCATATGTTCTTCAATTGTAGGAATGCGGCCCTTGCTTTGCCAATCCTCGCCTTTACGTCTGCATCTGAACCTCCTTGTTCATCGATGATGCTTCCCAGGTATGTGAAGGATTCTACATCTTCCAGAGTTTCGCCATCAGGAGTGATTGGATTGCTGTTTTCCGCTTTGAATTTGAGGACCTTCGTTTTCCCTTTGTGTATACTGAGGCCTACTGATGCAGAGACTGCTGCTACACTGGCTGTCTTCATCTGCATCTGTTCGTGTGTACGTGATATAAGAGCTAGGTCATCTGCGAAGTCCAGATCGTCTAATTGGTTTTGAGCTGTCCATTGTATTCCGTGTTTTCCTTCAGATGTCGAGGTCTTCATAATCCAGTCGACCACCAGAAGAAAGAGAAAGGGAGAGAGTAAACAGCCTTGTCTGACCCCGGTCCTTATTTGGAATGCATCTGTCAGCTGTCCTCCATGCACGACCTTGCACTGTAGTCCGTCGTATGAGTTCCGGATAATATTGACAATCTTCTCAGGAATTCCGTAGTGTCGAAGAAGTTTCCATAATGTCCTCCTATCTACACTGTCAAATGCCTTTTCATAATCAATGAAGTTGATGTATAGTGACGAGTTCCACTCAACCGATTGTTCGACGATGATCCGTAGTGTTGCAATTTGGTCTGTGCACGACCGATCCTTACGGAATCCAGCTTGTTGATATCGAAGTTGGGCGTCTACTGCATCCTTCATCCGGTTCAGCAAAACTCTGTTGAAGACCTTCCCTGGTATTGACAGTAGTGTTATGCCTCTGTAGTTTTCACATTTGCTCAGATCTCCTTTCTTTGGAATCTTGACGAGGTGGCCTTCTTTCCAGTCCATTGGCACTTGTTCCTCCTCCCAAATCTT